GTTACTGGATTGGAGTTTCAGCTTGATGGCTGGCTGACCTTGGAGTGCGTGCGGGTTGCGACCGTGGGAAGCGGCGTCGAGAAAGGAACGGTCTGATGGGAAGTGACCCAAAGAGGAACGATCGATTTTTCAGGGAATGGGGATTGCCACTTGAAGATCGTCGGGATCCATGCGTGATTGGTTTACCTGGAGGGAAGTGACGTCTCCTCTAACGTGGGTCGAGGACGACACCGAACTGAAGTTTGTGGGCGGTGCTGTAGTGGGCATCGTAACATGGGTAATAACCACGTCTTTGCGGAACGTCTCGTGGGCGTTCCTGGCGGGCCTAGGCGACAACGTGCAAGCAGTCTACTTCTTCTTCAACACTTGCGGCGACCGGTTTATAGGAGCGGCCCGCGATGCGTACGCGCTCGCCTTGCCTCCGCCAGAGCTGGTGTCGTCTCTGTTGACCCTGGACTTCCTGATTCCGATAGCTGTGCTGAGGGACTACGAGGAACACTTTGGGATCGTGGGACGCCTCTGTTTGAAGTGGTGCGAGGCGTTCCATCACGCCTGGTGCCTGTTCTTGCCTGAAGCGGCACGGCTGCTGTGGACAACCTCCGGAAGATACGCACGGGATACGAAAGAAGCTACCGTTGACGTTGCCGACAGAGTGGATGGCATCGTCGTTGGTGGGTACCTGTTGACGACGCTGCTGCTAGCTATCCTGATCTACGTACCGCGAATGATGTATGAAGGTACGGAAGGAGTGCTCCACGGTTGGATGGGCGTGGCTTTAATGGTGTTAATGGTGGACGTCTTCATGGAGCCATGTACGTGATGTACTTAGACCTGCGGTACATATCGGCGAACGGGTCGGCCATGCCGCCAGGAACCTGAACGTTTACTGGCCTCCGACGGATGGCCGTGACGCCCTGTTTTGCTTTGGCCTTGGCGATGCCATTGCCGACGATGCGTCTCTTGATTGGCAGACCGTTCATCATCGCAGTCGGAGGAGGGATCACTTGTGTGCTCTTCTGACGCCACTGCTCCCGGATGGACATGTTGGGATTGTTGTTGGCCGACAAGTCCGGTGGGAAGCAGTTGTGGCTGAAGGTGCAGACACCACTGGACTGCGTTTTGGTCCATTTGCGGAAGCCAAAGTTGTTGAGTTGTCGCTGGAAGCTGGCAAACTTCTGGTGCTTAAAGTATTTGGGCAAGATCTCGCGCTCGAAGCGTTTCATCTCGAGGATGTGGAAGGCTGTGACGCTGTTGGGCGTTAGCTCCT